ATTTAGTTTCATTAATCTAAGTGTTTCAAGGAGAGTACTTCTTTATCAGGTTTTCATAAAACAATTAATTGATGCAAATTTGCCTTCTGTTCTGCACCATGTGGCTTTGAAGGTTCATAAGACTCAGTATTGGAACTCAATAATGAAAGTTAATTTCACAATTTCAGCATCTATAACTGGGGATTGTATACTCATGAACCTAACTCCACAGTTTTCCCGACATTTCCTCCCCCCACCTCCAACTAATGTGGAAAAATCCCTCCTATTCCAAGGACGTTATGATCTGAAGAGTTTAGAAATTCCTTCAGAAAGCTAACAACATGAACAAGCTAGAGAAGTGAGAAACAAAGGAAAGAAACCAAAAGCACCTTCCCCCCCCATCCACCCTCTTCCACCTCCTCCCCCCGAGCGGCTCAGGGGAACGGGGGAATGGGGGTTATGGTCAGTCTACAGTGTTTCTTCTCTGCCGCTCCTTCTCGGTCACTCTCGTCCCCTGTGCTGTGGGGTCCCACCCACGGGATACAGTCCTTGACGAACTGATCCAGCGTGGGTTTCCCACAGGCAGCAGCTCTTCCAGAACTGCTCCAGATATCTATCTGTACCACGGGGTCCATCCCTCAGGAGAAAACTGCTCCAACCTGGCTCCCCCATGGGCAGCAGCTCCTGCCAGGTCACCTGCTCCTGCACGGTCTCCTCTCCACGGGCTACAGGTCCGGCCCGGAATCTGCTCCGGCAGGGGTCTTCCACAGGCGGCAGCCTCCATCGGTGCAGGGCCACCTGCTCCACCGTGGTCTCCTCCACGGGCTGCAGCGTGGAACCCTGCTCCACCGTGGTACTCCACGGACTGCAGGGGGACATCCTGCTTCACCATGGTCCTCACCACAGGCCGCAGGGGACTTCTGCTCCGGCGCCTGGAGCACCTCTCCCCCTCCTTCTTCACTGACCTTGGTGCCTGCAAGGCTGTTCCACACTCCTCTCACTCTCCCAGCTGCTGTGTGGCGCAGCGTTTTTTTCCCTGTCTTAAATATGCTCTCACAGAGGCGCAAAACAACATCGCTTATTGGCTCAGCTCTGGTCAGCAGTGGGGCCCTTACCAAACATGGGGCAGCTTCTAGATCCTTCTCACAGAAACCACCCCTATGGCCCCCTGCTACCAAAACCTTGCCACGTAAACCCACTACACCCCCCAAAAAGGTGTAAAACAGGGCACACAAATATTTTAGGAAAGATATGTATGGGATAAGATGCAATATTTGCACTATGTCTGATCAGTTATTTTAGCATGGACTGTTCAGAGGAGACTATTTCATCAATCATTGTTCAACTACACACATTTGTGACAATGATGAGAAATTTAGAGTGACTCTGACTTGGTTCTCTTCTAATTTGGTATAAATTTTTCTTCAGAGAAGCCAATGACACCTTGTCCTATTCTACAGTCTTTACAAAAAAAGGTGCTATCCTGAAGTCTTAAATGAAAAACCCTGTGCAGAGCTTTTCAAACTAGTTGTTATGAGAAGAAGAATTGGCTGGTAGCAGCTATCAGCTTTCGACTCATCTACCCTGCAGGTTGCCTAGAACTCAGTATAACAGGTAGAATTACTTTCCTCTCAGATTTCTATCAGATTAGAGGAAGATGATGCTCCCTCTCAAAACCATGTTCTGTCCTGGTACCACTCTAGTGTATGTGCTTCACCAAGCCCTTCTGAAACTGAATCACTAGATGGCCTCCCTACAGAGAAGTCATTAAGAAACTGGCTCTGTCTCTTCCTGTCTCCCAAGGCTCTCCCAGGTTTGTAAGTTCTGATGGTTTTGTTGCTGTTGTTGTTGTTGTGTTGATTTGGTTTGGTTACTTTCATTGTTTCTTTTGTTTGTTTGCTTGCTTGGTTGGTTTTGATATTTTGGCCTTGCTCCAAAGTAGTGTTTCCTAGTCTTCAGCTGTATTTGTACCTCCCTGGAAGACATGTGCATATTTCAGATACACTTTTTCTGTCATTGTGAATATCTTGGGGGGACATAGTAGCTACCCAGTTTGTGTGATACTGTCCTGTTCAAATGCAGAGCAGGTGATGCAAGCCTATGCTGATACAACTGGAGAATCTTTTCCAGTTGTTGTGTTATTCTCATAGATTCCCTAATATGATTCCCTAATGTTCATCTTCAAGTTCATCTATAATGACTGCAGAAATAAATAAGTATATATATATAATTATATATATATATATATATACTTAGAGAAAGAGAGAGAGAGAGAGAGAGAGAGAGAGAAACTCAGGAGCAAGCTCAATCTTGGCGCCTGGATACCTAGATATCTAGCTTCTGAGGGTGTATGGATAACAGCTATTAAAAACAAATAAATAAAAAATATAACAAGGACTAGGATTCTAAGGCCACTGATTGACAGGCTACTGAGATACTCAACTAGAACTCTAGAACTTTATAACTGCTATAGGGGAAGGTAATGAGACAATTGTGGATCTCATAGGAAAGAGCGAACCTACAATGGAGTATTTCCTGGGGTTTATGGGACTGTATAATCTCATGGAATGTTTTAAGGGGGTTGTAAGTATATGTACTCCAGGATGTTTAGGAAAAATGCCGTGACTTGGGAAAGCTAGGGATCAAACTGTGACACCTACAAGCTTGTGAAGATGAAGAGGAATGAGTGATGCTCTTCTGGACAAACTCTGCAGCTAATCACTTATTTTATTATTAAATCCCATTCCTTGCTGTTTGCTGTGTGACCTTGTCGTCTGTTCTCTGTGTGACTTTTGTCAGGGTGTGATTCACTAGTGAACATCAAGCTGGACTAACTGATGAATAACCAGTATCTGGCCTGGACTGAAGGTTTGAGCTGGTGACTAGCTAAAGGTCTCAGGGTCCAGCATGGTTATCAGACTTAAAGCACATGCTAATATTTGATGTGGTTTTGTGAATGAGGAGAGTGAGGGTATGTGTATGTTTCAGTGGTTAACTTTAAATCTGATGAAATGGAAGAGGCCCAGGCTGTCTTTTTTCAGGTTTATAGGAGCACTGCTGGTGTTTATGTGGGTGCTGGAAATGACTCTGCTGTCTGTGTTGGCCTGTGTGGCCAGACACAAAGAGGAGAGATAGAAAATATACTGTTTAAATATCTATTATCATAAAAACTGTTCTTCTCATTTATCATTTCTCATTTCATTTTAACTCAACGGTTTTAACTCTACTTCATAAAGGATCAAATTATCCCAATCACAAAGTGACAAAAGCATTCACACAGGATTTACTAGTTAAACTTTACATTTGTACTTGACTTTTAATCAGTGCTCATATTGCAAATATACAAAATAAAAACTGCTTTTGGTTTGCCTATCCTTAGGCTTTGCTGCCCATGTTCTCCCTCAAAAATCTTCTTTCTGCAGAATGTGTAATTGAATCATGTATTGAGGAGTGTTAAATGTGAACATGCGTGTACCTTTGCATCAAAAAACATAACAATCCCCAAAGTATCTGTTTTTACATTTGACCATAACAATGTGATCAGGTTAACAATACAGTTAAGGTTAATGAACCAATTATTTTTAGACTAAACAGGAAACACATGCACTAATTTCACTGTGTAAATAACTGCTTACTGTCAGTGGTCTTTTTATTGCTGTTTGCACCTCTAAACTAATTTTAGAAAAATATTAAAAAGATCTCAAGGAATTAGTAGCCATTAATGGTTTCTAAAACTGAATGTCACTCTAAGTGAAAGGTTTTGCTGAAATGTTTTTATTCTTTTGACATATGTGTGTTTGTAACCTGATATTACAGACATCTCAGCAATCTAGTAGTATTATATGGAAATTTCTGCAAAAACTAAACTGTATGCTAGTGCTTGCCTAATACACTATACTTTAATCTGTGTAAATACAGAAAGTCTTATCATGATGACAATACCAGTGTGAGATTGACAGCTAAATTCTTGGTTTGGTGAAGATGAAAAAAGCCACAGGTAAGAGGATATAAACTTCACCACAAATACATCTTCCAGAAACATATTACAGCTTAGCATTATAAAAAGAACTTGACAAAAAGTTTTTTTTTTCTTTTTTTTTTTTCTTTTTTTTTTTTTTTTCATTGTACAGAAAGGAAATTATGGTTTCTTTTTCACCTGAGTCAACTGAAAGTCATTCCTGACTTTCCCAGATGAAAGGAGACAGAGCACCCTTGGTATTGGAAAGTGAGCTCAGTAGCCAAAAGTTTTTTAAGCAGCAATACAAAAGATTATTGTGAATAACCAACTCTGTATGCCATGTAAACATGTTGCTGTCATGGTTCCGCTCAAGTGGGCAGCCGAGCTCCACCACAGCCGCTCTCTCACTCCCCCTCCTCAAAGAGGAATGGGGAGAAAATATGTGAAAAGGGCTCAAGGGTTGAGATAAGGATGAGAAAGTCACGCAATAATTATTGTAACGGGCAAAACAGACTCAGCATAAGAAGATAGTAAGATTTATTGCTTATTACTAACAAGCTAGAGAAGTGAGAAACAAAGGAAAGAAACTAAAAGCACCTCCCCCCCAATCCACCCTCTTCCACCTCCTCCCCCCGAGCGGCGCAGGGGAACAGGGGAATGGGGGTTATGGTCAGTTTACAGCACTTCTTCTCTGCCGCTCCTTCTCGGTCACTCATGTCCCCTGTGCTGTGGGGTCCCACCCACGGGATACAGTCCTTGATGAACTGATCCGGCTTGGGCTTCCCACAGGCAGCAGCTCTTCCAGAACTGCTCCAGATATGGGTCCGTACCACGGGGTCCATCCCTCAGGAGAAGACTGCTCCAACCTGGCTCCCCCATGGGCAGCAGCTCCTGCCAGGTCACCTGCTCCTGCGTGGTCTCCTCTCCACAGGCTACAGGTCCGGCCCGGAATCTGCTCCGGCAGGGGTCTTCCACAGGCGGCAACCTCCGTCGGTGCAGGGCCACCTGCTCCACCGTGGTCTCCTCCATGGGCTGCAGCGTGGAACCCTGCTCCACTGTGGTACTCCATGGGCTGCAGGGGGACATCCTGCTTCACCATGGTCCTCACCACAGGCCGCAGGGGACTTCTGCTCCGGCACCTGGAGCACCTCTCCCCCTCCTTCTACACTGACCTTGGCACCTGCAAGGCCATTTCTCACTGCCTTGACTCCCCCGGCTGCTGTGTGGCGCAGCGTTTTTTTCCCTGTCTTAAATATGCTCTCACAGAGGCGCAAAACAACATCGCGTATTGGCTCAGATCTGGAAAACAATGGGGCCCTTCCCAAACATGGGGCGGCTTCTAGATCTTTCTCACAGAAACCACCCCTATGGCTCCCTGCTACCAAAACCTTGCCAAGTAAACCCACTACAGTTGCATGAGTAACAGGTATTTTTTCCAGTGAGCAATGAGGTAATCAGATCCTACTCACATAAGAATTGTACCTGTGTTCATGACAGAGGTATTCAAATCTGTCTGGGGCATTGTTGTATACCACGTATCAACCATATTCCTGCTTTTATAGAGAACAGATACAAAACTTGTCAAATGTCAACCAGAAATGGATTCAAAGGTGGACAACATGTTTTATGCAGATGGAGTATTGCTCTCCCATAAACAGCAAGCCACTGTTCAAGTAAGAACTTTTTCATTAAATATGTGGTAAAAATTATCAGTGTAGAGGTATCTGTGGTGATTATGCAAGAAAAAGTGTTGAGGACCATGAAATCACACAAGAGGTTTGCTTTATAGCTAGCAGTCATTATAGAGGACAGTCATTATATGTGCTCTAGCCTATAGCTCTAGGCTACCACCAGAGCTCACCTGAATTTGAGCATTGTCATTTGTCTGTTACAGGTCACCTTCTCTCGGTGCCTGATTCTGAAGACACTTTAATCAAAACAAATTGGGTTACTTTAAACAGTGCAAATGGCAGGTCTTCTTTGTTCCAGGTCATTTTGACTGTTACAGAGTACTAGTAACAGCACTTCTGTAAGGAGATCTAATGGGGAGAGTAATCTCAGGTAGAAGAAAAAGGGACAACAGGGCTAAAATGGCAATGGTAGCCTTTTCTGTTGATACAGCTGAGTCACAAAGAGGCTGTTTATTCACAGTATAGAGATACTAATGGTAGGTATGCAGCCCCAGTGATACTAGTTGTGACAGGCTAGGAAATAAACATCAGCAGCAATGTGATCTAGGGATCAGCAGTGCTATAAAGCTGAATAATGAGATTCAAGCAGAGGCCGATTCAAGAAGAGTTTCAGTATTTTAGCCAGAATCCATATTCCCTTGCTATGAGCATATATCACATTATCAGATACAGCCAGCTCAGCAAGATGTCAAGGGTGTAGAAAGTCATTGCTGCATTTTAGTGTGGGATTGACAGCTATAGGTTTAACTATACCAGATGGGCAAACCTGTGGCATCTGAACAGTTCAAGTGTGGATCCATTGTAAAAACTGTGATGTGAATTGCTGCGGGCGAGCTCTCCTGGTGGAAAGCCTTCTGGATTTGTACCAGAAGTGAGGAAATGAGCCAGCACTGACTGTTTAAGCCAACACCAGCAGGTCTCTCAGGACTCAGCTGTCTGCTCATCCCACTCTCAGTCCACAGAAAAGTGTTACATAAATAACTGTCTAAGGAGAATGAATATTTTCTGACTGTGAACTGCTCTTGACTCCACCATAGGACATAGGTGTTTGATGAAGGTAAGATTTTTGTTTGTTGAGATTCTTGGAATAAAAGATCAGACATGCCTGAACTATACAACATACAGAACCTACTCTTGACCGTTTAAAAATATAAAAACATCTCACATTGTGCTGTAATAATCAGTGTCCAACTGAAAGTACAACTTGATGATATAGCCTTTTTTTGTTGTTGTTGTACTGTCAGTGGTACAAATCTGTTTCACTGAATGAAGGTAACAATAGGCATAAATCACTGTCATAGAAAATTCAGGTCAAAGAAGTTCTTAAGAACTTCTTGCTTCCTTGTTCTCTGCCTCTGTTGTTCTCTTGAAAGTCAAGCTGACCTCAGCAGGTAACAGCACCAGAACTTCTCACTGCAGCAACATTCACCTCAGTGATGCTGAGTCAAAGTGCTACACTCCACAGGAGTCAAAAACAGACATTGCACTAATCAAGCCTGTTGAGATATTTTTTCTTCTATGTTTTTTATTTTTTTTATTTTTTAATTTTATCTATTTATCTATTTATTTATTTATTCCTGGAAAATGTTTTTTGTTTTGTTTTTGGTGCTTACTTTTTATTATTTTTTTATTATGGGAAAAAAAAGGCACAAAAGCACTTTTACTTCAAGCTACACCAACCCCAAAATTGCCAGAGTCAATTTGAAAAGAAAGACACTTTTAATTGTTTTTATGGAAGAATTCATCAACCTAAACCCAATTTTGAGATAATAGAATGTGCCAAGAAAAAATGTAAGAGCATTCTTATAACTCAGTGTTTAGACTCCTGAACAAGGCATGAAGCTGTGTACAATGCATTACCATTTGATTCCAGGAGTTATTTGAGTGTTCTTAAATTAGTGACTCCTTAAACTCCTCTGTTTTACCTTTTAGCTCTGGGGTTTATTGCACTTAAATGTATGAAGACCAATGATTGCCTACTGAAGTATAATGCCTTCTTTGTGTTCTCCTAATGATAAAGCATCATCATGTGTTTGTAGCCAAATAAGGCAGATTTATTTCTGCCTTTGTGCTTGTGAGGTTGAAAGCAGCTGGATTATATCACCAAAACTTGTTTTCAATCTCTTCTCTAGAGAACTAGTCAAAATTCTACAGAAAAAGCAGCTGCACAGAATGGCTGGGAATTACAGTTTGCACAAATTTTACTGTTTGGTTTCTTTATTACTGTTAGCATTTAGTTTGGCTTTTAAATTCTTCAGTGCTGCATACTGATATCTGAGTGCCTGTTAGAAAAATCTGTGGAACACAATAAAATTTTAAGGTGCCTGGCTCAGCTAGAGGTTTTTGTTTGTTTGGCTGGTTGGTTTGGGTTGGGTTTTTTATTTTAAGTCATTTGTATTTATACTAGCCAAGAACCCAGCAAATTCTCAGAATAGCCTGCATGGACCTTACCACAAACAACTGGCCATGGCTTAAGCAATGTGTTACAGCTTTTCACTGGCATCCATAGCTGCCAGAAAATGATGGTACACTGCCAGTATAATGTGCAGATGTTAGTAATCATGAATTCAGTGTTGGGCATAAAGGAATGTGAAGTGAGGAATGCCAGAGAGTGTCCGGCAACATTGTGTGTGGCCAGAATTTTTCACGGGAATCACATGTGCTATGTTACTATTTGTGTACCTTCTGCCCAGATATATTTGAACACACGAGGGAGTAACTTCCTAATCAGCTGTTACCTGATGTCCATCTGCTATTCCAAATACCATGTGTCCGCTGTACAATTTAGTAATGTTTGTTTGTCACTCATTACTTTTATGGTATGCAGGATATGCTGTTTTATAAAATAATAGACATCCATTAAAGGTGGTATTCATACCACCTAACCACTTTGAGAGCTCAGACCTCTGAAAGTCTGATGCTTAGTCTAGACTGTTATACTGTTTCCTGCTATAGTTAGATGTATGCTTGTGTTGGGTTAGATGTATGGTTGTGTTGGGTAAAACCACCACAATGCTAAGCATCTTTAAAGGGAATTTCATACCATGATAAGTCTATCCAAAATCTAGAACAGTGACAGTGAGCTCTTCTCTGAAGGTAATTTTTTCTTTCCTCTGAATACAGAGGGAATGAAATACCACTTTTTTAGATGCTGAAGTTAGCAACCTACAAGAAAGATTAATATTAATTTGGCTAATGCAGCTGTCTATAACCTCAGGCTTTTTTTTATAATCTTTGGAGAGAAGCATGTGCAATGTTCATGTGCAGTGTGTGTTCTACAGTCAGATGTCTAAAACAGGTGAGCTAAATCACACACTAGAGCTATATCTTCTTATGTATTGACTATGGTCAGGTACCTAAAGTCACTAGCAGAGATGCTGTTGAGACATATTGTACAGTAACAGCTTTTAGAAAAGGTCTAATAATGTCATGTCTTCATATAAAGACCACTTAGCAGTTAATTTTTTATTGCCATTCCCTGTACTGGACAGATATTACATGAAGTTGCTCTTCATGGGCAAATACTTAATCCCTAAATTCTTGTTATTGTATTAGACTGGTTGTTCAGGTTCTACTTAGCTTGAAGTTCCTTGAAAATTCTCATTGACATAAATCACACTAGGAAAAAAGTTACAAGTGTGTTTCTTTCTTTTCAAAATAAATAAATAAATAAATAAATACCTGTTGCTGTCAGGAATCATCACATCTCAAATATATGAAGACCAAGATTCAAGTGCACTGTAGCTTCTTTGTGTTTCTGTACTTTCTGCACCTTTACCTTGATCTTGAGAAGAGAAGCATGAGCAGGAGAATCATTAGTAAATCAGAAAGGGAAAGCAGGCTACATATGGGGAAGGGTGTATTTCAGCCCGTTTTGTCCCCCCAGTCCCAAGAAACACTATCTAACCTTAAGGCAGCAATAGTCCCCGAAAGTCAATGTGTCATAAGCAATTCTATCTAAAGAAAAGCACACATTACTTTTTCCTGTAGGAAATGCTTTTTTTCTTGCGTAAGTATGAATGCCTTACACATTCTCTCTGCATGCATCCCCAGGATATACGAACTTTTAGACCCCACCAGCTACACCATGCTGCTATGTACCTCACCTTACTGCATCTCATGCATTTAGCCCTCAAAATCCTCTAGGAGAAAGCCAAGAGGTGCTGCTGGAGGTGGAATAAATCCATGAAAGATTCTCGCTGTCTACATTGAATTAGATCCTGTATTAGCTCATGTATCAAAAACTTTAAAACTTACAAAGACTGGTATATATTTCCTGTTAAACTCATTGGCATAAGATATCTGTTACTTATAAGGACTGAAGGTAAAATGAAATAATAACATCTCTCCTCACTCTCCCCTTCTGCCCCTTAACTTTGTCTCTAAGCTTACCTCTCCCCCCAAATCAAAACAGAATAAAATGAAGGGAAACTTTCTGTAGCTTGAGCATTAGGAGGTATAAAAGCTAATACGGGTGTCAGCCTGGCAAGTAATAGCAGCTGCACTAGAGACAGTTGACCACCAAATGGTATCCTAGCAACATACAGTAGCATCGTTATACATAGTGCTATCAAACCAAATTTATCCTTTTCAATATCTTAGCTTCAAGAGAGCAGGGATGAATAAAGAGCAAAGGATGAAAATGGTGCTGATGAGAAAGACAACATGGGTTTTTTATTTAAGCAGAGGTTATATAGAATGTCTGTGTAAAATGAATAAAAAACATTGCATTTTTGCTACAAGGAAAGATACCTACCAGGGGTAAGGCACTCTCAAACAATTATGATTCAATTTGCTTTCAGAATACTAATCCTGTGTATATTTTAGCTTGGAACAAAATTTGCCGTACAGCTTCTCTTTAACTCCATTTAAATGTTTCTACTTAACTGGGGAGGGGAAAAGGGACATATATTTTCATTAATCAACATTTCTAAGTCTTTAAAAAAATCTCTAGGCAATCTACCTATAAATTGTGGTTTTCAAAAACAATTATAGCTTTCATTGTTTCTAATATTAAATTGGATAATTACAGCTCTGTTGAAAAACTCTTGAAATTGAGCAGTTTCCTCTTTTTAGACTATAAATTGTCTTTTATTCTCCTGTTATATTTAGAGCCATTGATCCTGCAATATCCACATAATTTACCAATGTGCATAATGATCATGACTGTAAATAGCCTTGTCAGAGAGAGTACAAATGAACCTACATGCAGATTAGTTACAGGAAAGAATCCTTTCTTCGGTTTGGAGCAAAGATTAGAAAAACCTGTTAGGAGTGTAGACCTGAGAAATTAGAAGATTTGGACTCTCCTGTCCAGCATAATCTAGGATGATTTCACTGATCCTAGTTGAAAGGGGGCCACCTACCCTCAGCTGGGGGTTTGTCCAAAAGCAAAAAGACTACTGATAACACAGACAGAATTGAAGTTAGGTAGGGCAGTAGTTATTAGTAAAAATTACTCCTGCTGACATGACCTCAAGCAGAAAGTAAAACTTTAATAGCAGATGTACTGCCAAGTACATTGCAAATATTAATATTTAGTATTAATATTAAGTAGTGCCAAACTTCTGATCACTGACCATTTTTAACGTATATTCCAAACATTATCCTTGCAGAGGATACACACCATCGGGAATGGATTTACAAAACTATGTTACATGATATACTAAGCATTTTTGTACACACGGGAAAATATGTATGAAAAAGTTTTCTATGTGACAGTCTGCAGCAGAGGATTGATTAGAGACTTTGCTGAAAAAAATAATAAATAAAATAAAAAGTGTATATATTAACTTATATATGTATTTATTAAATGACATAATTAAAACTAAACTTTAATCCAACATTCAATCTTTTCCTTAATTTGTATTTCTAATTATTTTCAAATACCATTTTTGGAACAGTGTATTTAGCTTCTTGTCTTTTGTTATTTATGCAGATCACAGCAATCCACTCTCCTCTCCAACTATTCTGACAATCTCTAGTGCTCAGTGGTAGTAACCCTTCTTTACATAAGTTGCTATCTTTCTAGCTTCTAAGGAATGAGTCTGCCCATAGTAGACTCTACTTTAACCTAGTAGAATAATTTATCTATCCAGTTCCAAGGGCATCTGCTATTCTGTCCCCAAATGTCTGTGCATTCATATAGCCAATGACAAGGAAAATTAAAATAAAATAAAATAAAATATAAAATAAAATAAAATAAATAAAGTAAAAATCACCCAGACAATTGACACATTTGCTTGTAATCTTGCTGCCACCATTCAGACTGTATGTTTGTGATTAGCATTCCTTAAGCAATCTATCAAAACAGTACTGGACAAGGAAGGGCCTGACAGTTGACAGGAGAGATATCCTCTGTTAGCTGGCAGCCACATTGACTGAGACCCATAACATATGTGCTGAATATTGCCTATGAAACAAATACATCTGCAGCAGTGTAGGCTGTATCAGAGGGACAACAGGCCAGTCTTTTTCTAAACATGCGTTACATAATGCGTTAATAAAGCAAGTTATAACTTCTTGTATACACATGGATACCTATGAACAGATATTTCAAGCTGATGTAGTCTACCAAAGCAAGCATGTGTTTCAGAAGGTCTGTAGATTTTCAATGCATTAAATTTCTGGTCTATTTTCTTTACTTAGTCTGATCTTTGATAAGAGAGAAGCTAAGGACAGAGCTGCCCTATTCATAAGAAATGGAATGCTGTAATCAAGCTAAAGCAACTCTCACTTTTGCCTTCTTCATTACACAACAGAGGAAACAGGTAAGTCTTTGGGGTAATATGTGGAGCATGGGGCAATACAAATGCAGAGTGACTAAACAGAATTCATAGAAAGGAGTTAGAGTAAGCTTCTGAGATTTTACGTGACAATAAATTAAAGTTCCAGGGATATTAAAAACTTGGCAGCCAAGTGAGCAAAATTATTTAGAGAAATCATATCCAAAAAGTGCTGGAGCAATCCAGCTTGGTCGATTAGTGTAGGAATTTATGAAGTCATTATATGACATGTTTTCTTGTAATTGTAGAAACTGGATTTAGTGACCTGGGAAATCACTTCCATTTTTAGGATTCTGTGTTCACCTAACTTTCTTTTAAACTTTGAACACATTAGTGATGCAAGTGGAATTGCTATAATAATTTGTTGCCAATTCTTACGCACTTTCACCTTAAGTATTTTTAAGGTGTAATAGAAACAAACCTCCTTCAAGACTTTTATCTGTATCACACATTATGAAGAGTCTGTACTGTGTTAATCAGATAAAGCAAATGTCCCAGTTTTTGTGGGCAATGTGGCCAATTGTGGTGGTCTTACTGTGCTAGGCAGCTAAACACCACAATCACTTTCTCACTCCCCCTCTCAGATGAGGAGGGGAAGAAGTAAAGTAAAGAAAAACTCACAGGTTGAGATAATGATAATTTAATTAAAGGAAAAAATAATTATTAAGGAAAGATTATTATTAACTAAACAATTTAACTAAAGGGAAAAAAAGGTGGGGGGGAAGGGAGGAGGGAAAGGGAAAATAAAACAAAACAAAACAAATAAAGGCTACGTGGAAGTGTAGAGAAAAGAAATTACTCTCTACTCCCCACAAATGAGCAATGCTTGACAACGTCCTTGAAGCAGGGCCTCAATGCACGTAGCTGGTGTTCGGGAGGAGGACCAATGCCTTCCCAACGAGAGCCCATCTCTTCCTCCTTTTTCCACCTTTTATTGCTGTGTGACATCATATGGTATGGAATATCCCTTTGGTTGATTTAGGACAGCTGCCCTGGTGATGTTTCTCTTCTAGCTTTCTGCCCACACCCTAGGATGGTTAGAGAGAGTCCTGATGCTGTGCCAGCACTGCTCAGCAGCAAACACAACACTGGTGTGGTAACACTTCTGTTCTATCTACAAGTGTAGAGCACAGCACTGTATGGGCTGCTGCAGGGAAAGTTAACATCCCAGCCAGACCCAGTACACCAAAAATATATAATTAATATACAATACATAATATATTCATATATATTCACATATATATTTAATAACATATTAATGGTAATATAATAATAATATAATATAAATATATATAATATATTGTATAATATATATTATATATTAATATATTAATAGGTATTATATATATCACTTCCATTAAATAATTATGTATCATATATTTTATATTTATATAAAGTATATATTTTAAATATATATTATATATAATATATATAAACACATACATTATAAAATATTATATATTATTATTTCTTAACATATATATGATTAAATATTATATATAGAAATATAATATTATTTATATTATTTTGATATATATAATATAATATATAATATATTATCTTGATTATAATATTATACATATTATATTGATATATAATATTAATATATGTATATATATAAATATATTATAATATAATGATAATAATTAAACAATATATGGATATATACATATTTATAATATGTATATAAATTTATAATAAATAGGCAAACAAAACCAAGATAATTTTAGCTAGTGTTCTAGTTTGCTTCGCAAAGAAAATTACACTTATAACCAGTGCAACAGGCATGCCTTCTGCCATCTGTGTTAAGTTTGTGCATTGCAAGCACCTGGAGCTGTAAGGAACAGTTCTTGTAAAACAGATGGACAAAAGTACATCAAGTAGGGGGTTATGCTGTGTTTAAATCTGAGAAGACCATCACCCAGTCTAACTGCTGCCATTCAGACAGATGCATATATATTTGGAGTCACAGATTTTAATCAGCATAAACATGTCAGTGCTAAGGAGACTACACTGTTGTGAGCTTATAGCAAAAAATGGGAGAGACCACGGTGACCTAGTACTTAGGCAATGGTATGATACTGATTAGAGGAGATTATAGCTTTCTGAATGCAAAGCTCTAATTTAATGAGCATTTTAAGAGCAATGCAAGAAATCATGTTATGTCTAAGCCCTGTGAAGGTATGGAACAAAATGGAGGATTCACAGATGCACAAACTCAAATGTCAAAAGGGACAATTATAGACTTGCAAAGCTGTTTCTTATACACATGGTTGTAGGATTGCTACCAAAAAAAAAAAAAAAAAGTTTATAAAGCCCCATGTTCACAAAGGCTTGAAGAAGAATAAAGTGCCTTTGAAGAGGAATTACAAGCCTTAAACTAAGAAGAGCAATCCAGAAAAAACCTGTCTAACACACTGAAGCACTTGAAATTCTGTAGGAGTATAAGAGTCTTTGCCCAAAAGTTCCTAATTCAACTAACATTTTGATATTGTGTGTATGTAGTAGGCTGAGTGCTTCTTCTGAAATAACAATAACCAGTTTGGGACATAAAACACTGTCATTCTTCTGGTTAGACAAAATAAATGGGTATGCTCAAATCAAGCTCAAGTTGAAATATTGCAGCTCATATTGTCACAAAAATGGAAAGGTGTGACCTCAAAGTGATTTGGAAGTTGAAGGAAGAGGTAGACTGGTCTAAAAATGATGGCTGGAGTACTCAGCTGAGGGGAAACCAGGCAGCTCGTGTTTCCTTCATTATTTCTAGCCTTGCTATCCAGTAACAGTCTAAACTAAAATGCAGAAGAAAAACTGCTTGTACTACAGCTATTATGGCTAAGGCATACTGCTGAGATGTAAGTTTTGAAATTTTACAGTCTGATGATGGCTTAAACCATAGTTCTTGATGATTCATCCACCTGTAAGTGCAAAATGGTGCTGTGCCCCAGAAAAAGGCTTCAGGCTCTGAATATTTTACATCCAGGCAACAAACAGTATCAGATACATCTCACTGTTTCTTATTGGCTTGATTAAGCACCCCCAAGTTAGCTATTTAAAACTAATTTCAAGAGTAATGGTACTCCTCCTATTCTAATCACATTGTGCTTTTCACTATTGACCACCTAAACTTTATTGGCCACAACACTGAAGTCATCAGTCCCTCTTTTGTCACCGATATGAATAACAACCTTCCCACCCCAAAGCAATTTTTTTTTTTAATCTCCTTTGAACTTACTATTCATTATTTTCTTTGATAAGAAGAATAAATTGAGCTCTGTAAATTTCAGTTTGCTTTTCATTGTCTTGATTACATTGTGTGGACATCAATAGAGAAAACAGTATTCTAAGAGTTATCTTATTTGTGTAGAATAGTGATCCAAAGATACAAAATAACTCCTTTTATGTTAATGAGTCTTTTGGTCATAGAACTGTATTAAATGTTTCTACCGAGGGAAACAAATCAGTCTGAAATTTTGACTGACTGTTGTCTTCCTTGCATCTGGATGTATTAGGGTATGTTTTGATGAATTACAATTGTTACTGCAAAAAGTTCTGGTCTTGCTGTAACAATTACCTTTTTTTTAACCTAACACTTACCTCTTTGTTATTTACTCTTTAAGCCATTTTTGCATCTCTGAATAGTTCATCTGTCTAAGACTTTACAGTTGATATTAACAGATCCCAATTTGTGATCTCAAGACTTTGAACCAAACTATTGTGCAGAACAATACTTTTTTTTTTTTTTTTAATATCGATTAATTAAACTTAGATGTGAAGAAAGCATTATAGCTCACAATAAATGTTAAAATGTTAATGGAGCCTATTTGTAGCCAAAAATCAATCGATCAATCAAACAAACAAACAAACAAAAAAGACTGCTTCAGACCATTTGTAAAATGTATCAGCAACTCTAGATCAGAAAATAATCCCTGACAAGCCTAATAAGAACTGATCTGTAATAGGTTATAAATTAACACACACATATATATATATATATATTATTATATTAAATTAGCCAATTGGAGGCAATTGGAATATTTCTAATTTGTTCCAAGTAAGCTGGATAGTATCGTGGACTCACAGAATCACAGAATCACGGACTCATAGAATGGTTTGTGTTGGAAAGGACCTTTAAAGATCATCTAGTCCAGCCCTTTGCCATGGGCAGGGACATCTTCCACTAGGCTAGGTTGCTCAAAGCCCCATCCAACCTGGCCTTGAACACGTCCAGGGATGGGGCATCCACAACTTCTCTGGACAACTTGTTCCAGTGCCTCACCACCCTCATAGTGAATAATTTCTTCCCTATGTCTTATCTAAATCTACCCTATTTCTGTTTAAAATCATTACCCCTTGTCCTACTACTACAAACCCTTTCTCTTTTAAACAAGATTCTTTCCATCTTTCTCACAAGCCACCTTTAAGTATTGGAATGCTGCAAAAAGGTCTCCTTTGTGCCCTCTCTTCTTCAGGTTAAACAATCCCGTCTTAGACTTTGTAAGAGAAGTAACAGCAGTTACAGTAGGTGATTTTCATCCAGTTGGTATTCTTTCTAGCTACCTCAGATTTTTTTTTTTTCTTTTACCCAGAATGTCCAAATTAAAGAAATTTTTAATACTTAAAATCTGCCAATAATCAAGAGCTGTTGAGTGAAATACCCTGATACATCTTCTAACTAATGTGTTTCCCCAAAATCTTGAGTTAACAGGCTGGAGAGCTTAAATAAAACTGTTTTCTGTTGAATTCTCCTCCAATCCAATTTTCTGGAACCAGAGATAAACACAACATCAATTAAAATTTGTAAAGGTTATAAAGGTAATTTAAATATTTTACATTCTTTTGTATTCAGTTTTCACACTACTGGAAGAAGTAGTACCTGTATTTTAAAAGCTAATAAATTTCCTAAGAAATAAGAGATTCACTTATAGATGTATATGAGAAAGTTGGTCTGTTTTCTTACTTTTGTCTCTAAGCTTTTACAAGTA